TACATGAGAAGATGTTTCTACAAATTTACAGTAAGACAACCTGCCGTTTTGCTCAGAGATATCCAATCAGCAACGATCCTCTGTAGCTACGCTATAAGTGCCGTAAGAAAAATGCTTTGTTTTTTTTTTCAAAACTCATTTACCATTGTTTCTGTGATTGACGCAACTTCAGAAGAGCGAATAATTATTTGAGGTGGAAGAAAAATTATCAGTTTCAAAATTTTTTTTCACCTAAAAACCACTTCCTTTAGAAAAAAAACTCTTTGGTGGAGAAAAAACTGCAGAATTCTCGACAAGCTACAACATAGGCTCAGTACTGACGGTCCGTGAGTACTGAGCCGTACCCGTGGACGAATTTGCACTTGCAAAGTATCAATAAAAGAAAGCATAGAGAAAAACTAAGAGATGCATATTGCTCAGTTGCTATTAGTATCGAAAATTACACAGGACAAGATATGTGGTACTTTTATGAATTTCCGCCAAACTGACTTTTTGAAACATTCCAAAAGTGATCAAAGTATTGCTTTGCAAAAAAATCTAGTTCTTCGTGCTACTTACTAAGTCGAAAAGAAACTTCTTGAGTAAGCAATTTTGGATAGCCAAGTATCGAATTGAAGGTCTATGGACCTCGTTGGCAGCATTAGATGCAGTTTTTCTTCTCTTGAAAATTGTGATTTTCTGCAGTCGATACTTGGCCGTTGGCCGCATTAGAATTTTCCTCCTCTTGAAAACTATGTTTTCCAGCAGGTATAAAAACTGCCAAAGTCAGCAACCCATGCTTTTTGCAACGGTCAAGTAATGCTAATTTTCTTTGATTTTGTATAGCAGTTCACCAGGTGTCCATGCCAAAGATTTAGAAGGCGAATATAGGACAGTGATCTTTTTACAAGTTTTTTCATCGGCTCTTGAAGATTAATTCTTTCTTTGAACGATACTTTGTAATGTACGTTGCTTTCTAATTTTGCAGGGTTCAAATCCTGAATAGTGCTAAAAATAAGACAAATTATATCACATTTCCAAGCTTTGCTCGCTTTCGAAAATTTATTTTTGAGGTATCGGGTGTAAGCTGACTTGGTGCTACAACAAATTGTTATTGAAAAAAAGTAGAGAATTGAAATGTTGTTCAAAGGGATATATGCTGTTGGCTAGCCCTTTCTGCATGTTTTTCGATCTTTGCTGAAACCTATAACAGCTTTGAGAGCAGTTGAATATGGCATGCTGTACCCAGCTGTAAGCTTTGGCATTTGTTGGCGAACGATTAGAGATTTCAACTTAAATGCACAGCAACTCTTTGAATGAGGACAAAAAAGCCGCATTAATACGTACAAGAGTCGTAAAACTTGGTTGCAACAGATTTGGCGCTGGGACGAAAAAATCAAAATTACTTTTTTAGGCCCAAAGCCTAAGCCCCTCGATTTTAGTCGCTGCACGATTAGACGCAAACACAACTACTCATCATTGGGCATCAAAGCGCTTTGCTGGCAAGACTTGATGCGTTTGTGACAATATACAAAAGCTAAGCGCCTATGCATATAAAAGCTGCGCACGGTAAATCCATAAAGACTGACAAAATGTTAAATCGCGGTCTTTCAGCAATTTGTTTGGGGATATGCCTTGGACCTCAACGACCTAAATTTTTGTACTGTTCTAAAAAAATTGAGTTATGTACGTTAACCACGCCTTATTAGAGAATTGCTTTGCCGCAAGCACAGAATATTTCAAGCATTTCAATTTTCAAATTTGCTTGATTGCCTGGCTACACATGAGGTGATTGTAAGGTCTTCTGCTTACGAACACCACGACCTACAGAAAGAAGGAGCTAGTAACACGAAAGACTTTTCAATATGTGCTTGCGGAGAGCTCATAGCGACAAAATCCGGCAAAGGGAAGATATATTTTATCTCAGCAAATAATCAGATCCGTTGGCCAACATAGAGGCATTGACACAGTGTACTACCCTTTCTAAATCTGAGCACTTTCCCATAACACAAGCGAAAGTAGCCTTTGAAAGTCTGAGCGACCAAAATTTGCAATCAAAATGTCATTACTGCTTTAAAAAGTGCAAAAAGTGTCAGCACATAAATGAAGCGCCTCCCCGATTTAGCTGATTACGGTTTGAACGCTTTCAATGTATATGTGCAACAGAAAATAAGCCTTTATGGCGATTACGCCTGACTGAGTACAAGGAAATGTCGTTCTGTCATTTCAACTCTAAACGTTGCGAGTATGATTCACAAAAGGTCAACTGTACTGACATTTGATGTACTGATGGTGCTCTCACGTTTGGTCAAAATGAAATAAAGGATTCGGCGCCCTTAATACACTCTGCGGTCATGCGCCAAACCCACGCTATTTCATAGTCAAAGAGGCAATTGTTGCGTGCGATCCTTTTACATAACTTGCGGGTGCCAGCCGATTACCAAGTCAGTGCTTTTATCCTCCCAGAATTACTCCGGTATCAATGCCGTCTTCGCAGGATAGAGTGCTTCCTTGGCCCAGGGGCAGGATAGCACCTGCCCGACGTGGTCGTAGTGGCGCCTCATAGCACGCCCTCTTCCCCCCAAAATGAAATAAGTCGAAAAGTTGTTTGCCAGAAATCAATTTTCGAAGTTTACAACGTAAAGCAATAATCTTAACATGTTTGCTTTGGGTAATTGTAATGAAACTTGCTTGGAATTTTTTTTTACTGATCCACAATTAATGGGTTTCAGGGTGAAATTTATTATTTATTGCTATGCCAAGCAGCTACTAGACATTGAGTTTACTGTGAACTTACTGCATCCAAATTCGATGCGATGCAGCAATCTTGAATCTTACAAGGGAATGGTCAGAAGTCGAAGTGGCCAAACCAGAAAAGCTGTATATCATTCGATGCAGTTTAAAAAGCTGGCTTCAAATCTGTCTTCCTTATCTGCTTCCCGCTTCTGTGGACGAAGCTACAGGCGGTTTTATTGTGAAAAAGTCATACATAAAACCAGCGAAATTGAGCACATTGTTGCGCTTTTAGCTCGCTTCTGGCTTCAAAAATTTTAAGTAAGCTAGCTGCATGTTTTGGCCCAGCATTGAGGCGAACGTGGCTCTACACGGTTAAATTTTCAATTTCACGCATAATTTCTTAGCAAAATAATGGTCTTTAATGGCTTATAGCTTCGTCCAGAAAAGCGATAAGCAGGTAAGGAAGACAGATTTAGAGTTAGCGCTTCATGCTGCATCTAACGGTATGCAGCTTGTCTGGAATGGCCACTTCGATTTCTGACCATTCCCTTGTTAGCAATTTTTTTAACAAAGAAGCGATTGCGGACAAACAGATAGTATATTTATGTACATTGCCAAGGTATATGTCCCAATGCTAGTGAATAATAAATTTGTAATTAATGCTTTGAATAACCGTTGTTTTAAAATAATTTAGCTACCTCTTCATGTTCTTAATACAGTCTGTCCCGATCCCAGTCAGGCCAAAACCGGATTAACGGGAGCACAGTCGCTATGTTTGCCTACGCTTACGGCCCTACTTGTCTTCTCTCTCTCTCTCTCTCTCTCTCTCTCTCTCTCTTTCTTCAGCCTCTTCGCTCCCCTCCGGCAGTGCGCATATGCAGCGCAAACCCTATCGGGGGAATTCATCCCAACGGTTCGGTTTGATCCCGATTGGAACAGACTGTACAAGGCACTTCTCTTTCTTCGCCCACACTAAAACCCCACTTCATCGCTGTTCAGTTATCAGCAGTTTCGCATTTCATGGAAGAAATTTTGTGGGATACCGACGAAATGCTGAAGGCGCAAGGCCGAAGTTGCCAAATCTTGCCTCTCTAGAAATTTTGCTTTGAGAAGTCATGAAGCAAAGGCATCAGTTTTACCTTTTTAGCATGCGAGATTTTGATTGTTCATTCAGTCAGTTTGATTCGTAAAATAAGTAGTAGTATGCTCCTGCACTACACTTTCACGTTTCCTAGCAGGACGCCTTTTCGCTTCAACTCGTTTTGATCCACCTTTACTCTGTGAAGAACAGGCCTTGTGGATCAGGACTGGCCATTCAGAATGGTGCGAATGCTAGCCGTAAAATTATTGCCTCACCAACAGGCGACGACGAGAATAAAAATACTGGGAAGTTATGAAGCAACCTAATAATCTGGTGAAGTCGTACATATATAGGAGGAACTACGTGCACATTGGTTTGCCATGGTTCTTATCGAACAGACAAAAAATAGATTAATTCTGCGAATGATTGCCATATGCAAGCAACTCAAAAAGATTTACTTTCACTATTTTAGAGCTCCACAAACATCAACGGTTTTGACTCTGCACAAACACATAGAAAATAAAGCATTAGCTTGCCACACAGTTTGACCGGAACAAATTCCATTGTGTTTGTCACATGTATTAAAAATCATGATTTTCAATCACAAAAGGATTGCCCTCTATAAAAAAGTAAGCATCTGACAGTCTGTGGATTCGAATACTTCCATCTAAAAGTTTGAATTTTTGATCTCAGATTTAAGTGTGTATATGGTTTGTGCCAAATGAGCCTCGGTTTAAGGCTCAAATGAGGCAATCTAGCTTGTACGAAATAAACGCTTTCTCTCAAAGGTCTACTAAAAGATTTGTACATGTCTCCTTACTGCACTTGCAAGTTTCGTTCGACAATCCTTGTTAATATTTTGTAAACGAACTAAAGGGACTTTCCTTGTAAATGCTCACTGCTTGTAAGTTAAAATTTAGCAACCGTCAACCTTGGTTGTTTCCAAATTCCTTAATCAATGAATAAAACTACCGAAGAACAATCTTCTCGTGGCAGTTGTGGCGAATTAGTCAAATAAACAAACATCCTTTGAGGGAACTAATCTCACTACTTCAAAGCTCGCAACCTTAAAGAAAAACGATTTTGACTTTGCACAGTCACATAGAAAGTAGAGTATCAGCATATCACACTATTGTCAGTTTCAATACCTGATCCATTACTGCCTGTCATTTCTGGAAATCATAGTATTCGATCAAAAAGGATAATGCCCTCTGTGGAAAGTAAGCTTTGATTACTGCAGCATTTTTCGAATTCGAACTCTTCCATTTTACAATCCAAATTCAGCTCAAATCAGTCTAATTCTATGTCATGCGCCAGTAGAGATTAAGTTTGTGGCTCGAGATAACACTAATTTACAATGTAATAAAAACCTTTTTCCCGTCTCAAAATTTATCAGAAGAATCATCCATGTTGTACGACTTCAACTAGCAGAAACGTTCCGAAATTGCTATCTTGCAAGTCCGAAATTGTATGAAAACTCCTCTATTTTCATCTTGCGAGGTCAAGCATGTGCTCAAACTGTAATCTAGGTGTTTATACTAAGACATTATTGGATAGCCACCCTCGATGACTATGCGAAAAAATAAAATATCCCAAATTTCAATTGGCAGACCTTTTTGTACAACCTTATACATCTTACTGATATGCAAGCCACCAAATAAAATTGTTAGCTTACAGCCACGTCTTACCTCGACTTGGATATACCTGTAGCAATCATGAAATAATGATTATAAAGAGGCGCTTAAGATACCAATGAAGTTCTACGCCATGTATATTGGCTGCGATTGGAAAACTAAAGCACCGGCACAAGTTGCTTCGCGACGAAGTCCGCTTGAATCCTCCAAAACTTCATAAAGTCTCCTTTGACCATTTCAGAGCTTTTACCAGATCCATCTCTAAGT